TTGAACTCGAGCACAGCTGTTGAGAGAGCAGCAGCGCGCTTTGCTGGGTTTCGCCTCTTCCTGTCATCGCGGTGCGAGTAGAAGTAGCTGACGTATGGCACGACGGGATCGCGGTAGGCCATGTACGCGGCATCGTTCCACCACTCGTAGATCCAGTTCCTGTGCTTGGGGTCCTCTCTCCGCTCTACCAAGCGCTTTTGGAGCTTCTCCCCAGGTCCGCCGGGAGCCACGAACTCATTGACAGCCTTTGTAGTCGCGTCGAACTCGTTTTGGGAGAGGAGCGGGTGGACGGACTTGAGGTATCGCTTGGCGGTCTCCTCTAGGGTGGGGACGGGGAGTCGCGGAAGGGAGTCTTCAAAGCGCAGCATGGCACCTTTGCTGTGGTCCTCCTTGTAGCCTGCGCAGACCTCGTGGTTAGTTTTGAACCATCCCAAGCATGTGAAAGCAGCGCATCCACTTACCCGCTGGCAAACTCGACTGTTTCCGTGCTGGAGCCATTGCGACAATCTACACGCGCCAGATGTCAGCATCTCCTCCCCACCAAGACGCCACCCTCCACGCGACAACGTACTCTAGGCTTCGCAAAAGCGGGCTGGTTCAAAAGTGGTCTGCGAAGTATCGAGGCGGAGGCGGGTACTCGCGCGCGTGCAGCTCTGCTGAACATCACAAAGAAAGATAGGTGAAGTAACCAGGGAAGAAATTACAGGAGATGATATCAGAAGTCCTAGCTTTCAGTAGATCCGAGGCCAAATGAGCACGCGCTGGCTGCGATGACCGGGGTGGAGCTGTGAATGGAACAAGCCGAGGTTGTCGGACTAAGGTTTCGCTGATGCCGGTGACGTGATGTTTGCAGGTCTGACGGCCGCTTGCCCGGATGGATGCAACGAGCGACTATCTTATATGGCTCTGCTAAGTTCGTCCCAAGACACCAAGACTGCAGCTTCCATTCTCCTCAGCCTGTTTGCGAAATGCCATGTTTCCGACGTGTACACATCGCGATTCTGGGGTGCCCCGCGGCAGTGTCCCCACTAAACACGGACGCGACGAGCCGGCAATTTCACACCCACAGCCCAGGAGCCGAGGAAGGGATTCCTCGACCGAGCGTGCAAGCGCGCAACCTTGGAAGGCTATGAAGAGCCTCATCTCGTCATGTGATAAAGAGGCTCGGTCTAGGCACGGGGCCACGGAGCCACGTTCGTACGAAGACGTCGGTGTCTCCATCTCGCTCCTTGGCGTCGACGCTGGATGCGCATCGGGGTAGTCGTCAGCGAAACGACCATGACTAAGTTGGACAGAAGAACATTCGTCTGAACCGCAAACTGAGGAAAGTCAGTCCTCCGCGTAATAAAGCATCATAGGGTGCTTCGGGCAGTCCATGAAGGGCACGACATCGTCAATATCTGCACAGCTTACCCTAAGTTGCGGATCACACAGCGTGCCGAACAGCCAGCTGAGCATACCTAGGTAATGTTGAACCACGATTGTAAGCGGCACAGCAAGGAATGGGTCATGGAATCCGGTATTCCGTACACGATTCTCCGACAGGAAATTCTTATGAATGATATTATTGTTGAGGTGGATGCGTTGATGGAGAGGATGTATAAGATTAAGGATACAGGGCTGGTGGATAGAGGGAGCATGAATGCGGCGGGAAGGATGGTATTGTGTTATCACGCGACGGGGGTGGGAGGGAGTAGGTGATAGGAGGGAGGCATTGCGGTTTGAGGGATCTGTTGATGGGGTGGTCGGGGGGAAGTGAGAAGTGAGCTCAGGATGAACATCGTATAATGGTAATGATGTGTTTTCGTTTTTGTCTTCGACAGTGACTTCTCTTTCTGTCTCTCCCTATAATAAAGATACGTTGATCTCTCTTCCTCATCGCCTTATAGAGCAGAGCAACCCCAACACCAACGCTGAACAGGTAAAGAGACCCTTGCATATGCTCGTCTATCCAGACACCAGCATTGCCCCAAGCAAAAGGAACCGGAAAGACTCCAGTCCGAGAAGTATATGGTAAATATAAACATAAGAAACGTCGCAGTGACGGGGTATAAGATTCGACACGTTGTATCGGAAAGATGCTTGAACAATGCGATTAGACTTTCGCATCGCATCGCATCGCTAGAATGTACGGACATTCGGACACCGACCGGGGGATTGTTCGCTCGGTGTGTGTGCGTCCGGGATGTCAGATGTTTGACGATTCGGTGGGGTGGTCTTCCGTGCTGTCGCGTTTCATGTTACGGATCGGTGTCCGATGGGACTTTGGACAACCTCTTGCAGTACAGCATGGACGCCATCGAATGTGTTATCGATGATGCCATCTCTTAGTACTCAGACCAGTGGCACTGCTCGCCAACCTTCTCAAACTCCAAACTCCTGTTCACACGGCGCCGTGCGCGCTCTTCACGGCCAAGACAGCAGAACAGACGTGCGAGGCCGCTGCGCTTCCGTGGCTCGAGACCCTCGTAGGGGTTCTCTTTGGAGTGCGAGGCTGTTGTTGATGCCGGGCTGAGAGGGATGGTAGCGTCGGCGAAGATGTCGCGTGGTTTGCGCGGATCCTTTTCCGAAGTGCTGGAGTAAGGCGAGTTTGTTTGCGATGAGTTGGCCGAGAAGGATGTGTCGAGTGGAGAAAGCATTTGCATTTGGCGGTTTGCTCGTGGGGAGCTGGGGAGGCCGCTAGGCGAGAGTGGTGGGTAGGACATTTTTGACGGAGGAAAAGCGGTTGTTGCAAGACGTGTGTGTGTGTTGGAGATGGTAGTCTCGATTCAAGAGAGAAAGGAAGCGTGTGAATGATTATATGCGATCGCGACCGGTGGTTAATGGATATCAGTTAAGAAGCGAATAAAGCCGTTATATGAGAGAAACAATGTTTGTATGACAAGAAAATGGCACCAAGGGGACGCAGAGGCGTATATGTTTATGCCGATCCATCATCCTGCCGTGACCGCAATCATACGTTACCCAGGGGGGCAGGCACTGCAAGGTATCTCCACGCCAAGGGTCCGACGCCGTAAGATGATGGCCAGGGGCACCACGCAGACGCAGCGCAGCGCGGGGCACCGAATGTCCGCCACCAAAAGTATCCCCGGTCTGTCACTGCCGCAAAACGGGACATTTGCAGCCAGGCGTAAGTTTATCCGCAGTTTCACAGGGCGACGATTTGTGTTTTCCATGTTGGATCCTCGCGGCTCTTGTCCAACCATAACAATCCGCGTCGCGCAAGACCAACCAACAGCGCGCAGCAAATGCGGCGTAAGGCGCAGCTCGCTGCATGAAGGTCTGAAACCACGCCGTCTTCATGCGGAAAGGCTAGACCAAACGTTGCCAGAAGGCCTGAGGCCCGCGCTCCCAGAGAGTCAGCGAACCTGTTGTTCCTGCGAAAGAACGAGCGTAGGCAAGGCTGTCTGTTGGGTCTGGCTGCGTTTGTTTTTGCGATGACCCCCCCTGCTCACCACTCCTTGAAACGGTCTCAACGTCGCACGTCTGTTGGAAACAAACGATGGATCGCTCGTCACCCTCCCGCGCCGCGTATGTTGTTAATAGTTGGCTATTTCCCATGTTCATGCGGAGGATGGGAGGAGCGAGTTTCGTTACATGTCGTCCCGCGATTGCGCCGATGGAGAATCCACCGGGTGAAGTCGTGCTGTCAGCACTTGACTTCGGACCGCGTGGTGTTGGTTGAGCTGCCAACGTGGATAGTGGCATACATAGTATGCGTGTTGTCTGCAGTCGGAGCCAACTTTCCTCACTAGTTTCTTCGAGCGACCTGTCAAGTGACCGACAGTTGACGACATGTGGATATACCTACGCGAGCTGGTCGGTTCGTGCATGATAGTTGTTGGTTTATCGCCGGCATTGCGTGCGGCACAGCACCGTTAGCACTTCCCCAGGATCCTGCAATCCTCCGTGAAGCTTATCTCTGTATTGATGCAGTTCATGCGAGATGACGATGGCGATTCCTTGACTGACTTGCTGTGAACTGCGACCAGACTCATCGTTCCCAAAGACGAGTACGACTGAGCGCTGTCACAAGTCGTTGGTTGCGGGAGTATCTACCGTGTTCGTGAGCAAGAGCCGTACTGTGTGCATGCAACGCGTCAAGACTGCCTCGCCAGATATACGTGCGCATCTTAACGCGAATGCGGCGTGGTTGCTTCGCCGCAGTTGGCGTTGTGCGGCACAGCTACAACAGACGCTTATCTAGCTTTTTTGATGAGGATGATGCGTAAAGCCTGCGGTATAAGGGCACTACTGCGAAATAAAATGAGCGAAAGCCATAGGGCCTTCCATATGAATAGGCCCATGCTATGATGTCAGCGCTACTTGCGTCCTGCATTTTCAGGCCATGAGGCAGGAGCGCAATGCCACTACAGTAATGGAAGACGATACCTTAACTCATATCAAGAAGAGAGTGAGTAGGCATAATGGACTGAAGTGGAGAAGATTGTTTGTAATGCGTTGCCGCGTCGTGTTCGCTGTTTAGTGAAAGAACGAAGGGAAAGACGCGCTAACCCAGAATGGACGACGCGTCTCCACACTCAACTACCGTGACCACCACCGATGATCCCACTTTCACCACCAGCTTCTATTCTTCTTCGCTCGGGACCTTCTCCGGCCGCCCGTGCTATCCTGTCGACCACGTTCACTAGTATCAAAGTAAGCTGACTTCCACACGAGTAGTCCCGAGGTGGTCGCGAGAAGATCGAGATGTCATTTCAAATAAACTTTCCCATTCTGTGCACTAACTACGACCATGACGGGAAAGGGGGTATAGAACGCCGTTGCACATGCTATTGCTGACCACGAGGCTCAGCTCGTTGATATCCTGAAACTCAAACGCCTTGTCCATGAATACGAACCCAACTGCACCTCCTTTCGTGAACATCGCAATACCATGTAACGCCTGCAATGCTCTAGCCGACCGTGATGTCTGAACTCCAAAGATACATGTCTTCGGTAAGTCGTACTGTGGTATACCCACATGGCCTGCGAGGCTCTTATGTAGGTGGATGCCGCAACGCCCACGTGGCCAGGAAGTCGTTGGCAGCTGCCAAGTCGGCACCCGCAGCGAGAGGTCCAGGTACATTCAGACGGCAAGCCTCAATGTACTGTTCCACCTGGCTGAGCATGACGTGCTGATGACCATGCAACGTTGCATGTTCGATGGCGATGGTGAGACGACCACGATGTTGACCTTGAGGGTGGCGCACAACACCGTGGCTAAGACGAAGTAGAGAAACATCTGCCTCCAGAGTCGGTGAGGCCTTGGTGAAGAACTTCTTTTCATGGTCCCAGAAGGCAGCGGATTTATCGACACTGGTAGGATCGGCATCGGTAGGCTTCGCACCCTGTTGCTGCATCGTACAGCGGAGGTTTTCGACCTTCGCGACCAGGTCAGGGTCATTGTCAAGATTTCTAGCCCATAGCTAGTCAAGTCAGCGTATTGTTTCTTGTTGAAGATGTGAGTTTCCTTACAATCATCCTAGCCATGACGATCCAGGTTGTGCAGGCGCGGACACGAGCGAGAAAACCTCTTAACAGGTATGCTAGTGGAGTGTACTGTATGGTCACAGATCAGCAAGAGCAGACTGGAATAATGAAAAGGAAGCAAGGAAGCTTACCGCCGCCATCTCCAGAAGAGTGATTTCGAAAGCGAGCAATTTGTAGTCCAAATTCGGGGGTGGCGCGGTGCGATAGAGAGCCTCGTTCTTGCCTTTTAAGCCCTTCCCGCCACCGCTTTTTCCCAAGGCATCGTTGTCGGCGTAAGGCTCCAAAGGCAGAGTGGGGAGGAGATTGAGGGTTGTTGGCGGCGAGGCTTGTGGAACCGCAAGAACACGAGCCGGACGGACAGGAGCCACAAGTTGTACTGCGACTGATGATGCGGTCGAACCGTGTTGGGCCGCAGAATCCACTTGATGTGTCGCAGCGATACTGGTCGGTCCAGAAGTTGACCGGCCGCCGGCAGCGTTGTTCCAAGGGAACAAGTGTGCGTAGAAGGGTTGGGCAGACAGCCGAGGAAGAACTTGGGCAGACGGCTGAGGTAGGACCTGGGCAGCGTGGCGGCGATGAACGTGTTGATAATCAGTACTGCTGCGGCTGAGAGCGATCAATGCTTCTGCAGTGTTCAGATCAAGCAATTCGGCCTCTACTTCACCAAGCAAGTCATGTTCGCGGAATTCCCGCTGGACGCGATCAAACTGCGCCATGTTGCCTTTGCTGAAATGCATTCGCATCTGGCTCTTGAGATCCTTGGACTTCTTGATGTACGCTTGGTATGAGTCGGTATCTACAGTGGCTGCGTTAGAGATTTGTAGCTCTTTGACAATGGACAAGTGTGCTCGGGGTTCTTACTGTGATTCTCCATCTCGACGTCATCGGATTGCTCGCCATCGGTATCGCTGTCGCCGTCACCCTCGTCGTTGTCACCCGCCTGACCATTGTCCTTGACTTGTACATCATTGCCAGTGTTGCCGTCGGGGTGGCCGTACTCCTTGTTGATATCTGGAGTGACGCACTTGGTCTGGGCCTTGTTGCTGTCGTCGGCGGCCATCGTATCGGAGTGCAGGGGAGATATGAGAGCGAGAAAGTGTAGCCTTGCGGTATCGATTCCAATCGCGACGTTCAGTGAGCGAGAGAGCGGGCGTTGGCGTTGGTGGGGGAGCTGATATAGGCAGGAGGAGTCGGAGCTCTCGCTTAGCCTCAGCGTCCTCTGTCCCTTCACTGACTTCCAAGTCCACGGAGAGAAGCACCAGTACCACTCGTAAGACGGCAGCGGCTTGACAACGACGACGAGGATCCTCTGGTAATGCTCATGCATCCCTTCAACACCCTCAAGCAAGCCCATCGCACCGCCAAGCATCCCCATGCTGGCCTCCTCCAGATCCCGGTAGTGCGCCACCCCCGCAAGCCCCGACACGACTGACGTCGACGAGCTCACGCACAGCCGATAGCGAACAAGGGCAGGACCTGCCGGTCATCCTAAGGATGTCGCAGGCGTGGCGACTGCATATCAGCTCGTCGTTGAGCCGTACAAGTTGAGGACACAGCTCCCATCGGACCCCTGGATGCACACCACTGACGAGGCGCCCTACCAGAAACCAGGTTGTGGAGGCCATCAAGCTGCCCTGACAGTCGCTTGCGGCATCGACGACTCGCTCATCCAACAGGTTCGGGATCTCAACCTCAATCAGCCTCTCCCGCATCACGGCAGCCCTGCTCCGTCCGGCAGACCCCCAGGACACGACGACCACGACGAAACAGCAAGTCTAGACGGGCGAGCCTCCCATTGCCGCTGAACACGGAGCCCGGTAGCCCATGTGCGGATCGAATGCGAGACCAAACTTCAAGGATACACAGAAGGCATCAAAGGGGAGGCATCGTCGCATCGAAATTGTCTACGGGCAACCCGCTTTGGGCGTCCGAATACCCGTCGAAGGAGCGCTTCTTCGGTTGAATGCAGACACGCTGTTGCGCTCGAGAGGCCCGGCTCATCCCTCTGCAAATAAGCAAGGCTGGCGGTCAAGAACCGATGCCACGGAAGGGCTAGGGCGTCTTCATAAGATCTTGGAGCATACTGGGATTCTGGGGGGATAGTAGACCAAATGCGTATGCCAAGTGCCAATCGTTCATCGTTGACACATGAGACGAGGGTCTCCAGGCGCCGGGTAACGTTCAGCCGGTGCTTAGAGGAGGGAGCCCCCAAGATCTTGGGGTGAGCTTGCTGATGCACAATGCAGTCAGGCTTTCTGAACCTGCGTGATGGCTTCTTCGACAGACATGACAATGACCTCCTTGCTTACTGCAATTTGGCAGCGGTAACCGAATGGCTCCGACGACACCCGTTATGTGCCATACGTCGCAAGCGACTCTGATCGCTCATAATCGTCGTCGTGAACAAAGCCCGACAGCGAAGTTCTTCCAAGACCAAGCGAGCGGGACTGTGATGACGTCATCGTCTCAAGCCTAGTGAGCTGAGGTCAGACGACGTCCATGATCGTCTACCGGGAGACTTGCCAGTCGATGTTGTGAGCTACCCCACCAGCTGTAGATAAACAGTCCCTATTGAGTGTCCGTCGGTGGACGCCTCCGGGGAGATGAACAGATTTACCCGTAGGTGATCCGTCTCATGCGATCTTCGGATTCGATGTTGCCGTCCAAGAGAACATCGCTTGCGACCGCGAGGTGGAATGTTTCAAAGGTCCGAGAGGACGGCATTGCAGCCTCTTCAGCCTCATGATCCAATTCGATAGACGAACGAAGCCGTTAGAAATGTAGATTCGCCAGGGTGTATGCGTGGCCATCCCGAAGTCTTTGCAAGGCAGCTCACGAGGCTGGTGTCAGGGTCTTCCATAGCGAGTGGGGTGTCCAGAAGGGGCAGAGTCTTAAAGTCTACAGATACCCAAGTCACACCCCTTTGAACAGGTTTATGACGAAGGGACTCTAGCGATGGCGAGCCACGTGCGAGCATGCAATGCTTCGTCGATCGGGCGCGATTACGAAGATGTCTAAGAAACATTCCGAAGCAGTATTTACCCTATGGGGCTTTGAAACCCCAGATCCAAGCTCTTTCTATGTCCCTGTGGCCTAGTGTCCTGAGCATAGATTCCCGGCAGTAGCGCGCTTGCCTGGTACTGCAGCGTTTGCCGAGAGTTGCTGTTAGAAAGGCCTCGGGAGTAAGGATGGGTCTATGACGCTACCCGAGGGCGCGATAAGCTAATCGTCAACCATGTCCTATCTGGGAAGCCTGATGTGCTGCCGTGATATGAGAACGCTGGGAAGACGACGTCGCTATGGTCAGAGTCATGTGTGGCTCAGCGAGGACTAGTGCCGTGCGCATGCGCGAGCGCGTCGCTGGTCCGCTGTGGAAGCCATCACCGTCAGCTCGCTGTATGAAGTCGCCGGAGAAAACAGGGTTTCAGGTGCATCTTTGTTGATGCGTGTTGCGTAGTCGGCTGATGGGCGAGGAGGTGTCGAAGAAGGAGGCGTAGTCTGGCGAAGGAAGCGGCCCCACTGGCCGCCGAGGATGCTTGCGGAGATGGCTCGGGCTCGGCAGTCGCGCCAACGTCACTTACCCCCCTTCGCGTCTTTGCTCTTCTTCCATCTTCGTCTTCATCGCGTGTTCGTTACTACGCATATGTGTGGCATTCAATGACTTGGCCACGATATCGAGTCAGCCGTTGCGCTGTGGTGTGAATGAGGTTTGTTCATTGCGCCAGGCTCGCGCGACCGGGGCTCACGTTCGTCGGTGGGCTACGAAGCTCGAGGAACGTGGAATGCGATACGACAGTAAGCTCAAGGCTCATGGTGCGATGGAGCGATTCTGTTTTCGCATGCGGCAACCAAGATTGAGATGCTAAGAAAGAGTTCGTGACGGGAGTTCTTTGGTGGTCCGCCATGGATGTCGACCTCGGGGCGGAGGCAGTAAGGGTGGCCTATGCAATGTCGAGGGGTCCTCAGATGATCGCGTTGATGGTCAGTCCTACCGAGGGTAAGGCACGTAGGCGCTCAGAATCTTGGGATTGTCAAAGAAGGTCAGTGCTCCCCGGAGAGTCGTCAGGGGCGGAGGGTCACGACATTTGCCACATCAAACGAGTCCAATGCTTGGTGTACGATCAGAGGGACTGACGTTAGCAAACTTCTCGATTCATAGGATATGGCATACTTCTATCGTCTCATAGCAATGCCGTCAACATTCAGTCACGTTGATAGTCACATCACAGTCCAGCGATATCTGTGGACGTCGCAAGCGCCCGTAGCAGGCTACACATCCGATCTCACATACTATCCCTGTTATCGAGGATACCTGTGTCTGCCACATACATTTCTGGTACTATTATTGCTAAGTGGGTTGAAACAACGTCTTCCCTACCTGAAGCCAAGCCTCAGCGTCAACAGCATCCCAGCCCGTTGTCCGCGTCGCCCTTACAGTTCGTGACCAAGCAACGCGACTATTGGCTCCCCATAATCTCCTGAATGCCTGCCCTAGTTCATGTTCTCTCCGTCTTGATCTTCGGTGTTCTCCAGCCTTCGCCGCGAAGGGGACCCTGTCGATCGTTCCGGGCCCTGTGACCTTGAAGACGGTTGCGCAGGCGATCTTGTAGACTGTTGGCCTGGCTGCTGATGGGGAGAAGGCCGGACTGGGGTCTGGAAATGCGCAGGATGTGAGCCAGCAGGCCTTCGGCGAGGACGAGGGAGATCCGGTTCGGGTGAAGCCTCCTGGCGCGCGACTTGCCGCTCGAAAGCTGCCTGATTCGCTTGCCGGTGAAAAGGAGTCATGGCCGCCATCGAAGACCCATATCCTCCGGAATCGGAGTTGTCGCCAATCGTCTGCGTCGTCTGAGGAGGCAGCTGCGGAAAGGAGCCGACACCGTAACCGAAAGGGTTTGATGGGGGAATGCCCAGCTGCTGAACAGCGTTTCTACGCAGTACCGGTGTAAACAAACCTCGAGGCGGAATTTGGCCACCAGCTCCAAACCTGTTGCCGACTCCAGCTTGAGCCTGAGCGACCGCAGATGACGTCTCTGTATTCCTGTGCGCCGCATGGTTCTCTTGAGCGTCGGAACGGCGCCTGTGGTACTCGTTCCTGGTCTGATCTCGCAAGACTTCGCCGGCCCGAGCCAAGTCGCCTTCGAGGCCTCGAGATGTACCGCGTGGTGGTGTTTGCGGATCTTGTGGGCGAGAAGGTGTTTGCACTTGAGGTGCTCGGAGCGGCGTCGGTGGATCGTCCACTCGTCGGCGATACCTGAGTACAGGTTCTGGAGCGGCGGTCATGTCGCCCTCGCTTTCTTCGTCGCCTTCATACCTGCTGGTAGCCTCGCGGCCCTCTTCAAGCATGTTTTCTGGCTCGTGTCGGCTGCTTGAAGGCATGTGTGAAGCACGTGGCGGGCTGTCTTCGTTCTTGGTATTTTGAGGACGCATCGCGGAGCTTGTTGCAGGTAATAGCGCAATGAAAGATGTCGTCGGGATATGGGGTTGAAGGACTCTGAAGAAGATTAGAGAAAGTGATGCGGTGATCCAGCGTCGTGGTTGAGCGAAGCCTCAATGTGGGGTAACGGAAAGTGAATATATACGCGAGTCTCAAACGCGTCGGTCATCTCAAGTCAGGCGAGATACCCTGAGCTCTGGTGACCCAAGTCCACCGAGTCGGCCCCAAAGCGTTTTATAAGGACCTCTACGCGACGCCTGGCCTACGAGAGACGTCAACGACATCCTTACGACTTAGTATCGGTGGCTACCACACACTTATTGGTTCAATCGAGGAAGGAGATGACAGAATGAACTGGGAGACGCTGATATTAAGCACGATCGTATGATTGTTGGTTTTTACTAGAAGATGCTAACAATCTGTCTGGTGTCAAGCAACAAGCGTACAGCGCCTGTGCATCATCCATCCCAATACAAACTTCAACGCCACATCTCGCACTTCTGCCAATATGGTACTGGAAACAATGCGACCAAGAACCCAATCCTCGCCCTAGCTCCCGACATTGTGCCACATACTCTATATGTCCTCTAAGCCAACAGAACTCCCTCCTACTTGTTCCTAGTGGACCGCCTCGGCTGTCTACGTACCGTCGGCGGCTCCGGCTCCTTCTTCCTGTCTGCAGGCTTCGGCATATGATCGCGGAGATACCCGTCATAGTCCCTTCGTGCCTTCATCGCATCCTCTAGACTCACCACCTCAGCTTCTTTGTTGCCAAGCTTCGGTAGCCCTTTGTTGTAAAGTGGAAGCGCTGTCTCGTATTCTTCTCTGGTGTCGAAGGACAAAGAACGCCAAAGATTGTCTCTTGACTCCTTGATGAGATGCGAGTGGATGTTTTCGAGGTCTTCGCGATACATCTGTAGTGCGAGGTCTTCGTCAGGCGCTGACATGTCGCTCAGGATAGAGGTGTCTTCGAGACCATCGAAGGAATTACCTTTGGGGCTGGCTTGGGGGGCGTCTTCGATACTGTTCCCAACACCGCCTTCAGCACCGTCTTCATCGTCATCCTCGAAGACGTCTTGAGGTTCGATGTGAAGGTCGTCGCTGTCTTCGTCTTGAACGTCTTCCAGCTCATCTCCGAGTTGATATCCATAATCGTCTCCGTCAGCATCTACGAGGCGCTCTTCAAACCCCTCAGCGAAATTGTCGTCAACTTCCATCGGCCATGCACCCTCCGCGGCTAAGGAGGAGTTGGCGTCTCCGGCGCCCGTTGGCGCTGCGGAGCCCTCGTCAACCCCAGGAAGTCCGGTTTCCGGTTCAGAGCTGCTGCTCGAGGGATACCCGACAGGTTCGTACTGGTGGTCATGCAGGGTCGGAAGACGGTGGACCTTACGATCAGGGCGTGCAGGAGGCTGAGGACGTTGTGGCCCTGTCGTGTTGGGTGTTCGATTGAGCGTCTCGAGCCAATTACTTCGCGGCTTTGGTGGTCTGGTATACCAGTGTGATGGACCGCCGAGGTCGACTGTAGGCTCATCTGGCACCTCTTGCCACTGGGTAGCCGGCTTGAAGTTTCCGTCGTTGTCTTTTACAACTGGCGTTACCCCTTTGATGTCCATGAACTCCTTCACCCTCGGCTTTCCCATACCACGCTCGTAATGGTTGCGCGTCCGTTCGTCGACCATTTCGTCGGGGTATTTATCGTAGTACGCCAGCGCCCATGGAGAGAGCCTCTCATCGTGGTCAAGGCCAGTGCGATCCAAGTTGCGCAGCCAAAACCGTGGTCTGTCTTCTCGATAATTGAACTCGGCTACCGTGACTCCCCAGCGTTCAGCGAGGCCCTCATAGTAGCTTTTCGTAAAGAGACCGTCCTCGGAAGGCTGCGGGGACGGAGTGCGGCGGGCATCCGGCGATTCGCGTGCAACGTCCGGAGAGGCTGTAGTGTCCTGGATTAGTTGTGAGCGATATGACGTGTGTCTGGGCATCTTCGCGGTACCTCAGTGAAGAAAGCGTCCAATGTAGAGCCTTGGGCTGGGGGATACGATGACCGTCTCGTACTCGCCATTGTTGCGAGTGACATGAGATGCTGTTCTTCAGTGCGAGTGGAGGTAAGTATACGGGCAGTCTATTCGTGGTCCGTGTGATCTCTGCTGATCTCCTCGACAGTGAATTACAATGTTTTCGGCTGCTGGCTGCTTACTACTGGAGACGAGTATGACATATAGCACATGACGGAATGCGCTCTCAGTATCCCAGTCCAGCGTCTGGGATCTCATGCGTACTTGACGCTACGTGAAGCACGAGGATACGCGAGTTGGACGATCTTGCGGATCCACTATTTGCGAAGCATGCAAGTGTATAAGGCGCTCAATTCGTCTGCCCATCGACATTTTGGCCCTTGTGGCCATTGCGATGACCTAAATCACCTTTTGGATGTATAGCGCTCACAAGCGTCCTGTCTACCAACCATATTCATCAATTTGAGAAGATGCCCGAGTTCCTGGTTTGATTACAACGAGGTTTTAATGGACAAAGGAAGTACACGTTAGTTTCGAATAATCATTGTTTCATTAGCAGCTAAAGGAACAGTGACGTTGTGCAGATGCTGTTGCGGGTAGTGTGCGTACTGGGAAAGACAAGCGAGTCGCGAAGTTTGTAGCACGATTTGGCAAACTTCAGCACGGCACGCGTCCCTATCATCACGTTCCTTGGTCACTGAGGGTCGGCTTTGACATCTCGGCAGCTCGCGTAATGAGTGATAAGATGAAAAACTTTTTCGAATGCCCGACCATACATCAAGTCGCTATAAAATTTTACGCGTCTGCGTCACGCCCCCTGGATCAAGTTGTTGCTATGCAAGAAAAGACGTGCAAGTCTCTAGTCATGTATGCAAACCGAGGCGAAAGCTTTGAGCCTCTTCGATTCTCGCGACTGAGGGCGCCATGATGGTGCATACACAGTCTCTTCACCACCGTCGAGCTTCCGCTTGGTGCGCGGTCCACGCAAGCTCTCAAGAGCCTCTCGATCGTTCTTGACCAAACCCTCGAACATCTTCCTGCTCTTCTCATCTCCCAGGTTCAGTGAACCACCGATTGCCGAGCATGCATTGGCAAGGGCTGCGAGATCGTTCATGGACACGTAGCGGGCGAGGAGTGTCTGCACTGTGGAGAGCCGCATCGCGGAGACAAATCCGATCTTGTTGTTAGCCAGTCCCCGGAGTATTGTTGTGTCGAAGCTCGGAGAAGGCTTCACACTGTCCTTCTTCTCGTCTTGCAGACGTTTGATGCATTCGTCGATGAGGGGGGCGTGCTGGAGCTCTTTTGTCGCGGCCGGGTAGGTGGCGTGGAACAGTGGCGATGTTGATGCAGGTGGGGAAGGCACACCAATGCCACGCGCGGCGGGGACGTCGTGGTTTATAACCTGTACCGAGTACGTGGTGTTGGTACCCGCGACTACTGGATATTGTTAGAACTGCAGGGCGGACAAGTATGGGGACTCTATACCATACCGGGTGAACTTGCTGTGTTGCGAGTCGGCGCTTGATCTATGCTGATGATAGGCCTTCTATAGCCGTTGGAGGTAGACATAACGTTTCGCGTTTTGGTTGCCGAATTAGAAAAGGCGAGTTTGTTGCGAACGCTGTTGACGACGTATAAATTGTCACAATTGACTTATCTGTGCAGTCTATTGGGTGGTAAGGAGAGAAGAGCATATAAGATACTAACGTTCGGCGGCTTTGCAAATCGAAGCATGACCCGGTGACGCTGTCTGTGCTCCAAAGCCGCCTCGAGATCAAACAATTGCCTAGCGCGCTCTCGGCGCGCCTGAAAAGGATACCCTGTCATATGAAACGCAAGCGACCAATAGGCGATCACGTAGGTGCGGTAGATGACTTTACGTATGCGAAGTTTTTATATGCTCAGAGATTGCTGGTCAAGTGAGCACACGGCCTGTGACACTGGAGGGTACGAGACAACGACCTCAGTAGGAATGAACCCCAAATACACCAGGAGATACATTTGGTCAATCACATTCTACATACACGTACTCTTTGAAATGGAGAAGGTGATGTATCTAGAGCATGGATGTTATCCGAGTTCCATCAGGCACAGGATTTTGACCACATCTGCGACGTACTTTCCTTATCGCACAGCATGACTCAGCCAAGGAAATAAATCAGCTAAAGAAACCTTGGTCTCGTGCTTATGGACAGGTTTGAAAGGCTGGACGTAGTGACGACGCATTGGATGAGTGGGCCTACCTACCGGTTTCGGAGGAGGTGCCAAGCATTGTTTGGCTACGATGTGCCTCAATAAAGCGCCGTCTTCGCTTAGGCGACCTCGTGTTGAGCTGTATACCGCCTGTACGTATACATTTCACTACAAGGAGGGATAGACTGGGGGCACAGACCTCGACTGAGCGTCCAGCCATGTCTTTTACTTTGCAACTCACAACATCTGAACCAGACCCCGCTACGCCCCCTTTGGTTCGTTTCAAGATCTCTACAGCCCCGTACAAATCCCTGCATGAGAATCGCACCCGTTCTACGAGTGTAGCGCAGTGTCATTGCGACTGACACCGCTCGAACGAACGGCGAACTGCCCAGAGACGGATCTTGATACAACAGGAATCGTATGCGCTACGATTCGCGAGAACAGAAACTCAAAGACTAACAGTCACGGCAGACATCGCTCCTGTTCCATAGCTGGATCAACTATAGTGTGATCCGATGGCTTTCCACCCGAACGCCTTGACTGACTTCATCGCCGAGACTCCCACCTCGAGGATGAAGCCGATACTCACAAGAGCCATGATCGAAACCGACGACTCTTGTATGAAGCACCAGAGCATCGCACCGCTCTTAGCAAGTATCTGGAAGTACAGCTCCAGTCATGTTTCTTCGACACCCACAGCTGTCGAATTGGCTGCCGGCCACCGTTACTGGCTGCCATGCGGATGCCTAGCGGAGGAATGGATAACCTTCTTCACCTTCGCCGAGGGATGGCTCGATTTGGCGCCGCCTGGAGTAAGGTCGGCCTACGAGGAAGACCTGGTCAACAACTTTGGAGTTTGGCCGAGCTTCGCGAGGATCATGCAGGATGAGACCAGTCTGTCCACCCATTATGATTGGTTTCTGCCAGGAGAGTTATCTGAGCAACTTGCTCCCAGTGGCTCGCATTCTCATCACTTGACCCACCCACAGACCCCACGAGTTGCCGAAAAGACCCCATACCCCGAGGTCGCCGGAGACCCTTCAAACGCGACTACGCTCAAAGATGGATATGGTCAGCCTAACTCGGCGCGCCGGGATATCACAGAAACAACCGGGCTGAGGAGAGGTCTGCTTCAGGGACAACTATCAGGGACCAATCCTCGTGCGCTCCGCCAGTCGTCTGCGGCTCCGGTAGGCTTGTCTGTCCAGTCATTCCCTTTCCCGGCCGTTGTCGCCCCCCAGCGCTTGTCGTCCGCTCATCCTACACAGCATGTACCTCAAGCACGCCCACTGTTAGCACCGGCCCAGTCCGCACAACAGGCGTCTCAGGGAAACATGCAGCCAGCATCGGCTCTAGTTCCAGGCCCTCATCAAGGTCAGCACTCTGTCGCCCAAGTGCCTGTGTTTCCTTTGCGGTCTATACGCAGCGGTACAGCTGCTTTCGAGCAAAACCCGGCGGCTCCGCCAGTTTTCCATCAGCTGCTTCAAGCAAAGGGTATTACCACTGCGGGCTTCAGACCAGGAAGTGAGCTTCCACCGGGTAACAATAACACCGCCTGGAGTGCTGAGCGCATCCGAGCATTTGTGGAGATCGAGGGTAAAAGCATCCAACGACTACCTTCTCTTGCATTTTCAGTACATGGCACTGAGATGACCAACTTCCGGACACCTGCATCCGTTGACATGCGCTGCTGCCCTTTTGAGACGTCGATCGAGGAGATGTTTACGGCAAGTGCAACATCCGTGTGATTCAAGCACATTAGCAAATCACTAACAACGTGGCAGTACTTTCCAAACAGCTGCACGTCCACCCGCGAGACGTGTGTCCGGGCGATGCGGCATTGGAGACCCATGGACATATCCCGCTACATTGTAAGTGTGGCTTCAGATCTTGGATTTTGACAGAAGACTAAGCTAATGCCATTCTCACCAGAACTACGCACATGATACTCAGACACCGGGAATCTGTAGTCGTTCGAAGATCTCGTATCATTTCAAAACCGCTGAAGAGTGGCAAGAGGAGCATCCAGACTTCGTTCCCACGGCCTCCCTTCGCAACGTCAGCAGAGACAGCCTCTTGAAAGGCGAGAACAGGATACTGCACGACTTCTTCCTTTACAACATGGGTGATGGTGTGGCTCATCCACCTGCTGGACGTCAAGCGCAATTGTTGACGCGTGTCATCGAGCACGTTCGAAGGGTCACCGGGGATCGCCACGTTCGTCTCGGTCAAGCTGCTGCGTACGCAAGGCAGTACAACATCACAGTACCGGTTAATGAGCAGATGAACGTCACAAACCTAGCTGTGGAGGACCAGTTGCCGTCGCCCGCGAGGCTTTTGGCGATGAAGGCCGACTACTGGAACAAATTCGGCGACCATCCGTAGTTTGGAGTCGCTGATGAGACAGACGAGCGGGGAGTCGTTGGCGCAAGAGCCGCGCAAACAGGTTTCGATACCCAGGTACTAGTGGAGGCGTCTTTTGTTGGTTGTGCCTTCGGGCGTTCAGTAAAAGGTTGTCGGCGTTGGAAGCGGGGCGGCCGATCCCCAGGTTGCGAAGTTTGCCGCCAAGCATGCCCCTGTCCATAATCAGTTTAGTGTGGGAGGAGCCTCAAATGGCCGAACAGCTGCAACCACCTCATCTTCGCTCATCCATCATGCGACCACCATCACTCGCAACAATTTTCATCAGACCATGGAACTCATTGCTCGTTGTGATCTATGCTGCGATGCTCAAGCGATCAAAGCTTAGTAGGTAATCAGGAATCAAGGTTTGCGACGGCTCATGGTAGTATGAGCAAGAATCTGTGATACCATGATTAATACCCATATCAAGTCTTACCCTCGTCTCAAGCTTGCGTCCATTCATCACGTACCGACTGCAACTTTGAAGCCATTTCTTTCTCCGCACATTCTTTACTATCGCGTATATCCTCACTATGCCGGCAAGCACAAAGCCTTCGTGTAGGCTCCATGACACGGTCATGTGTCCATTCAAGTTTCTGTATTTTCGCCACCTGTCATTTGTGCTCGAGCATGCGACTCACATTTACTTCCCGAAATGGATTAGAGCGTTCTGGCGTTGCGCGGACGACCTCTCCCCCCCACCAAGAGCAGATGGCCTATGGGCTCATGCGAACGCCGAACTCTCGAACAACTCAACCCGGTTGACAAAGCTCTCTACTCATTTATCTTTTGCATAGCGCTTTCAGCCTCGGCTCAAACATTTCTCATCTTCTTACAAAGTTTTGTGTAACATGGATGCACCGGACAGTTTTACGACGAGTAACGGAGCCCGAAGTAAGCTTCCAAATCGCGATTTTTGTTCCTACTGACACGCACTCCAGACCCCCCAGGCAATGCCATGGTGTCTCACCCATATGGAATTCGACCTGTAGCGTCCATGTCGGCCCCGCGCGGCGTCACGTCGCAGATGGCGAACGAGGTCGACCGTAGCGCCCAGCGAGAGCAACCACCTTCTCTTGCAGACCTTCCTTGGAACAATCCCGCCGTGACGTACACACCCGCACACTACACGCGTCGAAATCTGCTGCAGGACCGGCTTTTGCAGAGCAACGAATATCATCGCCGGCGAGTCAGGGCAGTCATTGAGTTCTCCAGAGATTTATTGATGCGGCTTGGACAGAACCAGGACGATGACGACCTGATACTATACATGATATCCAAAGATCGCCTTCACGAGGCATGGATTGATATCTTCCTTACAACGCCTGACTACTATCTGCAGATGGCACCAGCTGAGATTCAAGAAGTATACCATAAGCAGATTGCATCAATGTCAAATGGGGTAAAGATCAACGAGGAGTATACCCTGGGTCGACCGAGAAAGCGAAAAGCTTCTGAAACTGAGAACGGGGTCCAAGTACTTCGCACAGCTAATGCAGTTAACAATGCAGAAGGACAAGTGCATGAGTCTGGTAAGCGACCCCACCACGAGATCTCCGCACTGGCAGAAGAATCACAGTCTCAGCATCGCTCGTCACTACCCTCCGAGAGTCTACTTTCAGCTTGTTCGTCGCAGGAGCTGGACCGCATCTTAGACATGTTCATGCCAGCTCTGAGCGCTCAAGTTGCTATCCCCACACATGATCCGATAGCGTCTGCCCCAAAGCCGGTACTCAACGCGATGGCGGTCGCACCGGCAGTAGTAGTAGCACCTCCAAGTCAGCCCGTGATCCCGGTAGCTATGCCTCCAACAGGCGTTGCCCCCCAGCCTGGCTTAGCGGACCCCATTGCTGCTTACATGGCTGGTAACCCCTTCAGAAACACACAAGATATCGCCGGTCAGGGATGTGCAGGCATTGCAATGTCCCGTGGTCAGATCCGTGCCTTTGTCGAGATTCAAGGTAGACCATTGGCAAGCCTTCCACCCGCGGCCAACTCCCACCATCGTCATGAGCTGAGGGGTGTGGCTCCACCAAAAACGGTTGATCCTACTTTGATCAACTGTGTCACTACTGCGCAGGAAATTCTCACTGTAAGTCTACTGCTCCGATCTGAAAAGCGCTCACTGATACTCGATCAGTTTCTTCCATTTCAGACCGTGAACTACGAGCTTTGGGATCGCATTCGGAAGTCCTGGGCCCCAAAGGCGATCGCTGATCTCATAGTGA